CCCAAAAATAATACAAATAAAACATTATTCTCTTCCAGAAGGGACAGACATGCAGTGGATGCAATATAAAATATGTAAAGTATGCACAAAACAATCTCATCACAGAGTCAATAGCTGATGTAATTATATCACATTATACTGAGGTTGCTGAGAAGAAGTGTACACTTTATATTCAAGATAATACAAAAGTAACTGTTCAATTGCTTTGAAATATATCACACAATAGTTGAATCATAATATCTGTTTTTCATTCCTGACTTTAGATTCTCAAAAAACAATGTGTATGTGTAAAACAGCAGAGTTGTAGCTGGCCTTTATAAGTATTCAACAGTTTAGGAAGAGTTGACATGCACCCCTGTGGCCCTGCATGTCACTAATGGCCAGAGATGGGGTCGTTACTAAAAGAAAGTAATATATTACATATTACATATTACTTTTAAAAAAAAGGAATATATTACACTACTTCGTTACTCTCTACATAAAGTAACTCGTTACTTTACTCGTTACTTTACTCGTTACTTTACTCGCAGGGCCGGCCCGCCCCTCCCTACAGGCAGATCACACAGACTGCTAAAGTTTCAAATGTTCTCTTTAGTTCAGTTTCCATTCCATAAGACTGATCCAGATAGCTCTGACCATGGCTGTCCTCTGTCTCCTGCTATCTGTATTTTGCGCAGTATATCTCTGAACGATGCGATGGTGATTCCACTGTGCAAATGGGCAACATTACCTCTACTATGAAGGATGCTACAAGCCTGTCCATCTCTGCTTTGGTTACCGGTCCTCCAAATTCTAATTTGTGCCGCTTCGGAGTCGGCGGCGGCGACTCACAACATCCTCACTCTGGGTTCGGGGGTCCGGTCCTTAGCTATTAGCTTCACCTTAGCATGTGTTCTTTGCAGGTGTTTGTTGAGGTTTGACGTGGTGTTTGCAGCAGTGTATAACAGCTTCTGGCCTGGACACAGTTTGCACCTCACCGTCACATTCCTGTCTATTCTTCGGACGAACTCAAAATAATGGACATACCTCCACCCCTCGAAAGTTATCGCTGACTCAGCCATGTTTATGCAGCACTGCACGTGGATATGTGGACGCGCAAGTCGCGCAGATTACGTACATATAAACCTGCGGCGGAAACCCCTCTTGTCTGTCAGTGTGATTATGACTGATTTTATAAAAGTAACGAAGTAACGCGTGTCGGGGCAATGTTAGTAACTGTAGTGTGATTACTGAATTATAAAAGTAACGCGTTACACTACTCCGTTACCGACAAAAGTAATATTATTACAGTAACGCGTTACTTTGTAACGCGTTACACCCAACTCTGCTAATGGCGCATTTCCACTACACGGCCTGGCTCGGCCTCGCTCGGTATGGCTAGGCCTCGTTATGCCTTGTTAGGACTGGCTCACTTTATGCTGCGCTTCCATTACAGTTTAGGAACTGGGGTAGTATCTATAGTAACGCAGTGTAGGCGGAGCCGTGACGTCATCTTCTATGAGAACCCCAGAAAAACAACACAGCTGTTAGCTGTTAGCACTCAAGCTCACAGCTCCTCATATCTGTTCAGAAACTAGACAAAAGTTAAACAAGTACAAACCACAGACTGTCTGTGTCATGGCGAGTACAGTCGCTGGTTTATTTATGTCTGTATAGGCCGTTGTTGTGAGTGTGGACGGTCGGAGCATATATTGCGTTAGCTTAGCCGATCTCCATTTAGACAACGCACATTTTAAAAGGTTTTTCGCCAGCCGTCTGTCTGCAGACTTGTCAAAGCATGAATTCATGGTTTTTACTAACCGGTATCAGTATGTTGTTACTTCGGCATCATTTTGAAATGTGTATTACAATTAAATCACGGTCAAATATGTTCATCTTGTAGTAGTTGTAGCCCCCTTGCCAGCGATTCTCTCTCTAGTTTAGCAAACTCAGCTCGACTCAGCCCTGTTTGTTGGCCCCGATAGAACCACGATTTTGTCGGGCCAGAAAAAAGGTGAAAAAGTAGCCCCGGGCCGGAACTAGGCATAGTGGAAACGCAACCAAAAACTGGCCCGGCACGACACGGCACGCTTAAACCGCGCTCCGCGCCATGGTGGAGATACGCCATTATAGACATTGCCTCTTATTAAGGGCTCAAAAGCAAAAAAGTTTAATTATGGTTGTTCAAGATTACATAAATAGACAAAGACTTTATGTGAAAAGGATATTCAAATGCCAATTATGTTTAACATTCAAGTTTGGTTTGTATGATGTTGTTAAAATCTGAATTTACTGTAAAAGTGGTATAATTTTTTGAAAGAAACATGCTTCACCCTGTCAATCCTCCACCAGGCTGGACAGGTCTCTCTCACTCATTTGACTCAGGACAAATGCCCAGGGCAGTTTTATGAATTCACATGTCAGCAGAGTCATTAAAGAGCGCTGTTGCCCTCCTGCTGTGAGAAGGTCGACACACCCCTCTTTAATTGCTCCTGACCTCATCTGGGATGTCCCAATCGTTATAAGACATGTTTGATATTTTCATCAAGGGCCTCCCAGTGCGAGCAGATGAAAAAGCTGCTTTGATCGAGTTCAGCGGGGAAATTGGGCCGGACAATCAGAGACAAAATGATGTCTCTTGGGTCGATGGATTTACAAGGGTTTTTCAGGTGAACACACAAAAGAGAATTGACCTAAACATTCAAGTTTCTCACTAATCCCTGCATAGGAAAAACTGCTATCTCATCTGAATGCTCACTCAAATCAATTCAACAGTCTGTCTCACACACACACTTGACAAACATGCACACATTCAGGAACACACAGGCTTTCTTTCCCTCAATGATCTCAGATGAATTTCATCAGAGATCATTGCTTCATTAGTGAAGCTCTAGTTGTTCAGACTGATTTAATTATCAAATCATCTATGCAGTGTGTGTGTGTGTGTGTGTGTGTGTGTGTGTGTGTGTGTGTGTGTGTGTGTGTGTGTGTGTGTGTGTGTGTGTCAGTGTGTGTCAGTGTGTGTGTGTGTGTGTGTGTGTGTGTGTGTGTGTGTGTGTGTGTGTGTGTCAGTGTGTGTTTGAAAGAGATTATGCAGTGATCTTGGCTGACATTGATCAGCCTAGTCTAATTGGGAGCATCTAGCCGTGTAATTGATTCTGCTACACTTCACAACTAGATGAGTTTAGCAACATCACATCAACAACACAGATTCATACTGATGAACAGAACTACACAGAACCAAACCGAGCCGAGCCAAACCGAACCGAACCGAGCTAACCTGAGCGACAGAAATAAGCTAAACTACTGTGAACAAACAGATAATACAAATAATCTCTCTCTTTTTGTCCTGGTCCATTCATAAAAACAACGCTGCAAATTAGCTGATCAGATTTTGGCCACTTTGTAATGTCACAAGGTTTTTTTGGGTTGTGCAACCAGTAGCAAATAACCAACGGTGGTAACAACCGCCCACCTTATCACCTGAATCTCCTCCTAGAGCACCATTGTGTTTTTCTTAAACCAAACACTTTGCAGAGGGGCGTGGCCAGGAGCAGCTCATTAGCATTTAAAGCTACAGACACAGAATCAGCACTTTTGAAACAGGGCTAAAACAGAGGGGTTTATGGCATGATACAATGCAAGATCTGTTTGGTATTTCGAGCCAAACACTTCAGAGACATGTTTTGTATATATCTGAGACCTATAATATATTGTTGAAAATAATCATAATAGGGTACCTTTAAGTTTTGTATCTGCCATAATGTTGAATACGCCCTGACAGCTTAAAGGTAGGGTAGGTAAGTTTGAGAAACCGGCTCGAGATACGCTTTTTGTTATATTCCATGGAATGCTCTTAACATCCCGATAGCAATGAATATCTTAAGTGCTTTGACAAAAAATCCATAAAAAAATGTCATCTGTGGAAGCCGTACTGTAAAAAGCACGACCAATCATTTTAGCCGGCCCGGCTAAAATAACTGGATGGCCTACCTGCCTGTCAGCCTTCCATCTGTGCACAAACTTATCTCGTGCCCTCATTGGTCATGTGCGCGTTCGTGTGTGTTGGAGGAGGGGCTCTATAAGGAAGTGGAAGATTTTCTCCGGTTGTGTATTTTCAAATTCTAGCGATCTCGAGCCGGTTTCTCAAACTTACCTACCTACCTTTAAGCAAACCATCCAAAGTGACATCGGATATCACTGGAAATGTTTCTTTTGAATTTAAAGACCATAGAAGTGATTAGGGAAGCTGAAGAGCGTTAACATTATTTTCTGTAACTGTTAATTAAGGATTATTAAGGGATGCACTGTACTGTATCACTGATTACCTAACTCACCCAATAAGAGCCTCTTCTAAACAGTTTGCAGTGTGGTATAAAGAGCTTGAAGATAGAATATTCAACAATGTAGCATTGTACGGTATCGAAAGGTGGGCTGTGTACATCTTACATGACTTTACTGACTGCCCCCACAATGCAGTATAGCAGAGATGACTAAGGTTTTACTCACCATAACGTTTTTTCCAATGTAACCCTGAAACAATATCTATCCTGTCAGCAAACATTTAAAAAAGTGGTCATCAGGGAATTGCTTACTACCCTTATGTTTAGGATTTCATAAAAACTCAACAATATATTAAATATTTCGAACTGCCACTGTTCACGGTGCTTCACAAGTCTGGGCAAAAAATCTGGAATTGCATCGTGAGGATGGGCAGGGAGGAATGAAAACCGCCTTTTCAAGAAGCTGCCATCTTTATGCACCTGGTCAATTTGAATGAAAAATGACCTGGGCATGAGCTACGTACACTGGCAGGTCAGCACAACACCGGGAAAATGGTGTTTATGCGAGTGCCAACTTCCGTGTGTGTAAGCGTGTGTTGGTGTGTGTTAATCTGTGTCTGTGTGTGTCTATGTGTGTGAGTGTGTGTCCTGGGGATTAGTCATGCTCTTCTGCCTCTGCAGCACTGCCTTCTTACTGCCTCACACACACTTGCCTACACACACACAACCATACACACACACACACACACACACACACACACACCTGCATCCATCTGGCCAGTCCCCTCTGATAGCAGAGGTGTGAAACAGAGAAAATCAGCCGACTGAGAGAAACAGAGAGGGAACGAAAGAGGAGCAGAGGGATGCAGGGGGAGAAGGAAGTGGGTAAAAAGAAGGGATATTAAAGAGAGATGGAGAGGAGGATAAATGGACCAGGAGGTGGAAGTAAGGGTGAGACCGACAGCAAAGGTGGGGGAGAGAAAGAGTGGGAGAGCGATATTAAACACCAGGGAGCTAACTGAGCACATTCACCTGCCCACTCTTTCTTTTTCACTTACTATCTCTCTCCCTTTTCCCCCATTTCCCCCTCCTCATCTATCCTTTTCTCTTTGCTCATCTCTCATATGCTTCTTCGCTCGCCTCCTACTCCCCTAATTAGCTCCAAATCCTCTTGCATCTCATCTTCTTCCTCTTCCTCACCGTCTCTCCCCACTCACACCAAAAAATCAGGTTGACCTTAATGAACAGATGAAGAGAGGAGGGAAATGATTGCATCCAGGGAGCCCAGGAAAGGCTGGATCAGCGCTTTCTGGATCAGCGTTTGTTTACTCAGGACTCCCCCATGTGAAGCTGTCAGTGTCTTTTTGCTATTTCTCTCCACTCGCAGGCAAAACTGTGAGGCATTAGGACCATTTGGATGTTTTTAATCTTCCTGTGATTTATCTCGAGTGGGAGGGGATGTGTTATTGTTTGTGGTATTTATTCAGTGTTTGACAGCGTACAGTGACAGGAAAGATGAGTGAAGGTGGAGATGACACGCAGCAATGATCACAAAGACTTGTATCCACAACATATAAATCATGTGATTCGATAGAACCAGCCTGATGTGCCACTGGGACACCGAAATGTAAAACATATTACTTCAGCAAAAATGTATATGTAAGCATTTACCTGTAATAAAAATATGCACACACCTGTGCCCTTAATTGAAAGTCCCAGAGAAGATTTTAAAATGTGCGCATCAGTGTGATAAAAAGTGTAAACAGTATATATTTTTTCCAAACTAGAACTTCAGCTAAAAAATCAGCTCTTTCATGTCTTAAATAAAAGGAAAATAACACTGAAGAGAAATTGTATTTATCTGTCAGTTTTAGATTATTAGCAATTACTGTATCATGCACTGTTACAAACAAGTAGTAATTTCATCTAATTCAGCTTTAAGATGCTGTCACTCTCACTTTTACCCGATTTGGATAACCTATGATGTCACAACCTCTCAGGGAACACATTGTCAGTAAACATTCATCAGATACATTTTTGCGACATAGTGAAAATGTTCATTAAAAAATGTCCTCATAATGCTGATTACAAATATAATTGGCGATTGCTGTTGCAAATAAGTAATAATATTCTAAAAGGCCATTCTGCATGAAATATTCGCAATTTTACGGTGCTGCATCAAGACTAACCATTTGAGAGTTTTGTTCTCCGTTGATTTCAAAACTCGGGAACCAAAACGTATGCAATTTATCAGTTAACTTTTGTAGCGAAGTTTGTAATTCAGTCCTTTCTCATGAGATGTTTACCACATTTCTTCCACCCCCTTATGACATTTTTTTTTTTTTAATGTGTGTGCTTACTCTGTTCTCTGAGTCATTCTGCAGAGAGAGAACACCTCCTTCCTCTGTCAGTCTGCAGAGTGACCTCGCTGAAGCCTGGCCACTGAGATAAGCTCACACCTTTCTCTCCTGTCCAGCTCTCCTCCTGTTCCTGTTCCTGTTCCTCCTCCTCCTCCTCCTCCTCCTCCTCCTCCTCCTCCTCCTCCACCCTTTAGCATAAGATTTCTCTCCCGGCGCTGTGTTTCATTTTTCACTCTCCCATGGTCTCATCTCTTATATTTTACTCATCCAGCTTCCTCATTCTCTATTTGTCTTTTTCTAACAAAGTTAACATATAGCAGATCACCAAAGCGAAGCACACCGCCAGGAGCTGTTTGTCTTGCCATGTGTGTGTGTGTGTGTGTGTGTGCGTGTGTGTGTGCGTGCGTGCGTGCGTGCGTGCGTTTGTTAGTCTGTCAGAGGGGGGGATTTGTGCTGACTGGTAAGGGTAAAAGATTCATGACCCAACAAAGCTTGTCAGGGCCACACACACACACACACATACACAAACACATACACATATATACACACACTCAATTTTGAGACCAGGTGAGTCGGCAGATTTTGCTCTTGGGGAGAGACAAATGGAGAGAGAGGTTTAAAGAAAATGTAAGAGACTTGTGAGAAACAGAGGTAGACAGAAAAGAGAGACTTTGATAACAAATAAAATAGGTAAAGACACAAAGGGAAAGAAGACAGTTCAAAAAGCTGAAAGCTCTTTCAACCACTGAAAACATGAGGGATTTCTTTGCAGTGATGACACCTAAGATAGATACAGATTATGATAGGCTTTGAACTGGTCACATTTCAGGAATCCAAGCTTAATTTACTGGATGACTGTCAACAGCATCAGTATCAATATAGCAAAGGTCTCATGTAGCTATTTAGTGTCTTTTTCTAGGGCTGTTTCACTTTATTTATACACAGAAGATGATCAAAGTCAGATGATAAAAAAGAATAATAAATCACACTTTAGACTATGGTGGGGGTTCTCCAAGGTTGAGAACCAGAATATTGCCCAGCGTTTAAGCAAATATACTCTCTAGAAAAATGATCCAATCTTAAATTATACAAAAAGAGGATGGTCAAAAGTCCATTGTTTTAGATTGTACAACTTTTCGTTGCACAAAAGGTTTCTTGTATTTGCAATGAGATATTTTCTTGTACAGCAACAATTATTCTTTAACTATGGTAAAACATTGTCATACCTGTACACCAGTTGCAACAGTTTTCATTTTATAGTGTGTGTGCAAAGTCTGCATTGTGTGTCCCTTGTATACTTATTTGCAACAATGTGTGTGTGTACTTGAGATGCACATCCAGCCCTCTGGTGGTTCAGAGAAGCTCCGCGTAGCGTGAGAGAGCGAAGCATTATTTTATCTAAATACATTCAACTCCCTCTCTGTCTCTCCGCTCCTGCAGAATCAATAGTCATTACACTCCGAGTGAATTGATCTCTCAGTGCTGTTTGCTGATTCCTCGGACTAAACTAACACCAAACAAATCCCGGCCCCTCTGTAAGGGTCGATGTTGGCAGGTGAATGAGTGTTGAGTGTGAGGGGAAGTGGAAGAGGTGCAGGGGTCACGTGTAATAAGATCTGCTTCCTCTCGGTTCACTCCTATATGTTAGGGAATCATTCTCCTAGATATCCACCTTTTGCCCTTTGACGTTTATGACCAACCCTGACGTCTGTTATCTCCTTCAGCCATATGTTGTTGTTACCAGTTTGTGACCTGGTTTATTGTTGTGGGTACACTGGAACACTTCCTTCTTGGGGTTTGTGGACTCCAAGGTGTGAAATCTTCGAGGCCATAGGCGTCAGACGCAGTGTTCCCAGCTGTTTAGTCTATCTCCCCAAATATGTTGATTACTCTCTCTGAACTATAAAAGGTCTATCGAGAGAGAGGCTCTTCAGAATTGACGTGGCAACTCAACCGTGCAGTCAGATCCGTGACTGTTTGACTTGTTTTGTGAATCCTCCGGCCGAAGCTCCTAAATAAACCATCAGTGTTTGACATCAAAGCTCCAGCTCTCCCCCGTGTCTCCTTCCTGAGTCGGTGACTCCCACTGCATTGCTACACAGAAGTTTCCCCCACACTATATATATATGGGTTTATCTGGTTTACCAACATGTTGGAATGAGCTAACAGGTGGGACCAAATAAGTGCAGATTTACGCAGCGATGTGTGGTGGTGATAGAGGGATGAGTGGTGGGTCAGAGAGGGAAAGCTGAGATACAGATGAAAGGGAATGATGGAGAGGAGGTGTGAGTGAGTGGGAGAGTGAATATGTATAATTGAGAAATGACATCAAAGGAAATCCTTTCATGGTGTTTGAAAATGATCATCATATTTTCAAAAGAAGAAATATAAAGTAGTTGCTTGAATGTGACTCTGTTTCTTTGTTTATTCTGAAATAATGAACCTGTAATTCTTATTATTTAAAAAATATCTACTTTTATTGGCCAGAGTCTTGCTTTTTATATTCCCTTTTAGTAATAATACATCCTCTTTTCTCTGCCATGTACAGTCAATCAGAAGAAATTGTGTTTTAAAGCTTGTTGATAATGGTAAATGGACTGTATTTATATAGCGCTTTATCCAGTCTTTGTGACTCCTCAAAACGCATTACATCTACAAGGCATTATTCACCCATTCACACCCCATTCACTCAGACGCAGGGGCTGCAATTAAAGGTGCCATCTGCTCGAGGAAGCTAACATTCACACAGATTCACACACCGTTGGCCATGCCATTGGGATCAATTTATGGTTATTCATCTTGCCACATGTTGACTGCAGGGGCTGGGATTGAACCAACAACCTTCTGATTGAAAGACGACTCCCTCACAGCCACAGTTGCCCATACAACTGGACCTGATCACAGTGGCATAGTGTGCACAGTAGCACATCCAACACTCTGAAAGAAAGAAAATGACTGCTAAAATCTTTAAAGGTCCCCTATTATAATGTTTTTCATCAATATATTATAAGTCTCAGATATATACAAAACATGTCTCTGAAGTGTTTGCTTCGAAATACCAAACAGATCGTGCATTGTAGCATCCCATAATCCCCTCTGTTTCAGCCCTGTTTCAAAAGTGCTGATTCTCCGTCTGTTATTAGATGAAAATAAGGAGCCACTCCCAACGCCCCTCTGCGAGATATTTGGTTAAAAAGAACAAAATGGTGCTCTTGGAGGAGATTCAGGTGATAAGGTGGGGGGGGGGGGGGTTACCTTGGCTGGATATTGGCCAGCTTTTTATATAAATGGATCAGGACAAACAGTGAGCGAATATTTTTTCATGAAACTTTAAGAATCTCTTTACACAGAGGGGACACATGTTTATGTATAAAAGACAGGAAAAAGTAGATTTTGCATAATA